CCGCTTGGTTCCCAGCAAATGTCATCTCTCTTCGGTTTTAATCCAATTGAGAGTGAACCTTGCTCTGATACCAATTATTAGGATCAAGAGCGCACTAAGAGGGGGGGGGGTGAATTAGTGTAGTGGAAAACTTTCACGATTTCAAAATCTTTGTTTCGATTAAAGCCGATTCAACTCAATTCGTTTCGGAAGGAATTTGAGCTTGAAGTCTAAAGTGAAAATGCAAGAGAAGACTAAGGTGATTTGCAGTAGTGTAAGTCACAAAAACATAGATTTCGTAAAGTCTTCGTAGAAAGCCGATCTCGAAAGATATTTTACATCAAAGCGAATGTAGACGTATTTAAAGCATAGTAAGGAGGAGAGGCAGCTTGCTATAAAAGAAAGATGCTCAAAGTAAAAGCAAACCGAGATTTTAGAGTGGTTTGGTCAACGTGACCTATATCCACTATCGGCTTCCTCCTTCGACGAGGTCATCGGTGTCCACTAGAGGCCTTCCTTCAATAGGTGAAGGCCAACCACCCTTTTATAGCTTTTCTCCTTTTGACGGGCTTAGGAGACAACTCTTACAAGTTTTCACTCCTCTCTTAAATGATCTCAATACTTAGAAGAAAGAATGAGGAGAACTCTAGCTTTTCTAACACTTTAAGGCCACAAAGACTCAAGATTAAAGCAAGTTTTTCATGCCCTTTCATGCAGGAAAGGGTAGGGTTTATATAGGCCCCAATAAGTTTAAAAATGGAGCCAAAAAGTGTCTATTCTCGGATTTTCGGGGTCCTAGCGATACCACCACCATTATTGGGCAGTACTACCGCCTGTCATCGGACACTGAGCGGTACTACCACTCAGTCTGGGCGGTACTACCGCTTGACAGCACTCGAAGACCGAGCTCAGGCGGTACCATCGCCTGACAGGGTTGGTACCACCGCTGGCAGCAATAATTGTCGGCGGTACCATCGCCTAACAAGGGTGGTACTACCACCCAGAATCCCTGGGAGACCAAGTCTCCTTGGCGGTGCCACTGCCGGCCCTGGTGGTGCCACCGCCGATTAGGAATTCTGGGTCCGAATGGGTTGTTCCATTCGGCCCAATTTGGGTTTGTTAAGGGCCCAATTGGCCCCTAATTAAGTCAGTGGGATTACCTCCCAACCCTAACTTAATATATACTCTAACTATGACAATTATGACATGATTACTGCAATTCTGTGTTTTGGTGCATTAATCGCTTCTTCCGGTGAGCTTCCGGCGAACTTCCGGTGAACATCCGACGAACCCTTGGCGATGCTTCGGTGGACTCCCGGCAAGCTCCTGGACTTCGTGATGATCTTCTTGGCGAGTTCCGATGAGCTTTTATGGCAAGCTCCTGGACTTCTCAATTGGTTCCCGTAGAACTTTCGATGAATATCCGGACTTCCGACGAACTCTCAAACTCCCAACGTGATCTTGATCTTGACTCTGGCATAACACCCGCTACATGTCTTACTGCCATCGTAGTTAATCCTGCATGCTTTTCTCAACATATAGATTAGATAAACAAATGACAATTGACTTTATCATCAAAATTCGAGATTCAACAACTTAAACAACAAATATCTTGTCTGGTATGTCGATTCTTCTTTCGACGATTTTCCGGCGAACTTTGTGGTGAACTTTCAGTGAACTTCCAATGAACTCCCAACGAACTCTCAGTGAACTCCCAATGAACTCTCGGTGATCTTCCGACGAATTCTCGGCGAGCTCCCAATGAACTCTCGGCGAGCTTCTAGCAAACTTCCGGCACATCGTCCGAATCTTCAACGTATCATCCGATCTTTGACTCCAACCCAATATATGCTTTATGCCTTACTACTATTGTAGTTAATCCTGCACACTTATCTCAACATATAGATTAAATCAAATAATTTATCAATTGATTTCATCATCAAAATATGAGATTCAACAATATCCCCCTTTTTTATGATGACAATCAATTGATGACGGAGTTAACCTGAACTCCCCCTATCTATATGCCATACTTGAGAAAATATATTCTTGAATTCAAAGCTTTTGAATTCAAGCATCAAACTGATAAGTTGTATTCATTTAAACTTATCAAACATGAACATCATGATACTTATCATAATTTACCAATTCAAAATACAATAGCACGTATTTATAAAAAAAAATAATGTCAAGACTTAACATCCATTTTCAAGTCTAATGATGATAAACAATCATCATTTTCAAGTATGATATGAGTTTCAAATATAAAATTTTGCAAGATGACAAAGATAGCAATTCATCATTCCATGGCAAGATATCAATTGTAAATAGTAATTTGAGCTCATGATATCTTATCATAATGATAAATTATTATCAAGCATTCATTAAACATTTCATATATCTACAATGCATATGAAATACATTTTGATATGTTTCAAGCGTTTGCGATGTATTTGATGATTCCAATTATATATAAAGCATTCGCAAAACATACAAGTATTTATGATAAGATACAAGCATTTATGATAAGATACATTGCATACATTTACAATACCAATTTGTCATCAATTTACCACATTTTGGTATTATTTCTCCCCCTTTGTCATCAATAAAAAGGAGAACCATTCAACAATGTAAGTATGGTAAACAAGATAAAGCAAGTTTCACACCAATTCTTAATGGAATTTTACTCGAGGGCTTTTTAGTTCTTTTTTTAGATGTGTAAATTTCTTTCTTATTTTTGTCATAAAAATAAGAAGAAGATGAAGAAAGGTAAGGAAAGAATCCATTAAGAACCAAATACATAAAATGATTTGAATCAAGTCAAATTCAAAACAATAGATGAGTTTCATTAAATCATGTTTTAATTTTAACAAAGAGAAGGGATTTAAAAAAATGATCAAGATATCCATGTGAATTCATAAAATTCATCTTTCATGAGAAGAATAAGGAAGAATTCATGGGAGAGGAGCATCACATAAAAAAGAAATTCATGAATAAAACTTCATAAATCAAATCTGTTTCTCATTAAAAATTCACAATAGTAAAATCCGTGAAAGATGCATTTATCAATGAATTCTATGTGTGTATCATTAAGCGATGGAGTAAGGGTATAAAATAAATTTGATACCAAGTAAATTGATATTCCGGATTTCATAAAGGCCTTAGATACAAAATGAAATAATTTCATGAAAGCCTTTTAAAAAAAATCGAGAAAGTTTGGAAAAGATATACATCAAATTCATGCATTCGGACAATTTAACATCCCTAACTCTCTTCTAATAAAACCAAATTATTCTCCATTTAAAGATTTTGTAAAGATATCAGCTAATTGATGTTTCGTATCAATAAACTCTAAAGACATGTCATGGTTATTAACATGATCTCTTATGAAATGATGCCTAATGTCAATATGTTTAGTTCTAGGTATTGAATAGGATTTTTTGTTAAGCATATTACACTCATGTTATCACATTTTATGAGAATATTCTTAAGATGAATCTTATAATCTTCTAATGTATTTTTTATCCATACAACTTATGCATAATATGAACTTGTCGCTATGTATTCGGCTTTAGTTGTAGATAGTGCAACTGAGTTTTGTTTATTGGAAGACCAAGAGACAAGTGCATGACTTAAGAATTGACATATTTGGGATGTGCTTTTTCTATCTATTCTACATCCAGCAAAATCTGCATTAGTATAAGTAATTAGTTAAAAGTTTCAGATTTTGGATACAATAATCCTAGATTAGTGGTTCTTTTAAAATATCTAAGAATTCTTTTAACTATTTTTAGATGAGATAGCTTAAGATTAGATTGAAACCTAGCATAAAGTCCTACACTAAACATGATGTCCGGTCTAGTTGCGGTAAGATATAGTAAACTTCTTATCATACCTCTATAGGCTTTTTGATCAAAGCTTTCTCTACTTTCGTCAATATCTAACTTAGTGGAGATACTCATAGGAGTATTGATAGCTTTTGAACTATCCATATTAAACTGTTTTAGCAAGTCTAATGCATATTTTGTTTGACTAAGAAAAATATCATCACTAAGTTGTTTAAATAAATTATAAATAAATTACTAAGGGTGATATATGTCCATCCGGGTCTAACTTATTTAAATAAATTATAAATAAACCACAAATAGATTATAAATAAATTATAAAATATAAAAAAAAACTCTTAAATAGAAAAAGGGTGATATATGTCCATCTGGGTCTAACTTTTTTTATATGTTTATATGTTATTTTTAATAATATAAATTGATATATCACTAAATTATTTAATATAATTTATTTTGATATTAAGATGATATATTATATATATATATACATATTTTAAGTATAAATTTAACTTTTTAAAGGTCAAACTTAATAAACAAAATATTTTTAAAACTTAAAAATAAAAAATAATGGTATATAGATCTTTCAAAATTTTAAATATATTAAATATTTTAAATATATTTTTTATTTTATATTTTAAAATAAATGAATAATATTATTATATCACCCTTGTCTTTATAGTTAGATAAATTAGTTTTGATTTATTATTTTTATTATTATTTAATATAATTTATTTTGAAACAATTTAAGTGTTAGATTAGTTAAACTAATTCAATTATATGAATTAATTTATTAAAAATTAAAAATATCTTTTAATGAAAGAGAAGATATAGGAAAAAGATAGAAGTTATTGGAAGATTATTTTATCATCTTGAAAAGTCAAAGCTCTTTATGAGAATTATATATATATATATATATATATATATATATATATATATATATATATATATATATATATGAAGTGTGAAGTGGAAACAACTGTCCCCTGCCCCTCTACTGAATCACGAAGATGAATTGAACTTTTCCCGTTGCATATTAAAAAGAAAAAAGAAGGCCCTAATCTTTCATCGCGTGGAAAGAACTGCGGATTAGAAGTCCAATACCATGCAGTCATAATGCGCAATGCATTCTGACCTCCGAGAAGAAAACCTTGGGCACGTCTGCAACTTGGTCAAGTATTTAACACCTTAATATTTAACATAATATAAATAGATATGTACAGCATATACAGTTTAAACTAGGACACGAGCACCAGCAAGAGATAACTTATCAATCAGACCAATGATGGAATAGTAGTTGAGGGATCAGCACACAATCAACCATGTACTTGGACCAGCTAAAAACCAACAAGCACTGGGTCTACAGACACAGGATCAACCGAGCTTCCCAGCTGCAACTTTCAGAATGCCACTCTTGGCGGTGAGACCAGGTTGAAAAGGAATATCTTTGTCAGTCCTGTTACGTCCACGCTTATCCAATTAAAGACTGCAAACATATAGAAGACTAGAAGAAAAGGCAAACTTAAATTCAAGAATTTTTAAAGTTTTACCAAATACCAAGAGGCTAAGGTTACAAAATTACAAGAACTTGAGAGGGCAAGTAGGTGTACTAAGACATTGGCAGTAGTAAAAAGGAATATTTAATATTAATATTCCTTAGATTTTTAAGTACAATCCAGGAAAAGCAATAATTACTGGGTTTTCTAAAAGGTACTTTAATGCCTAGCTAGCTCTCTGCTGTATGTTTGCCCGCAGTTTCATGTTCTGTGAAAAGCTCATATAATATCATTTTTGACCTAAAATTTGGTGCAACACATCTTGAACAATAGCACTTATGGCAAAGATCCACGAGTTGTCTGACTCAGTGGTGTTCGGCATAACTCCAGAATCCATGAGTTGCTTAATTATGGCAGAGACTTTTTGTCTCGCATTCGGACAGACCAATGTACAGGCACATGAGATCTAAAGTGGATAATATCAGTGCATAGTTGTATGGAAAAGTGATCTAGGGATGCCTTTTGACTTGAGCTAACACAAGATGAATATGTCTGCATAGAGATGATCTAACTCTCAATGTTTCATTCAAAGTTCAGAGGCTCATTCCTCCTTTTTAGGACTGGTGACGCATTTGATGTCATTACCCAAACAGCCTGGACACTACCCACCACAGCTATGGAAAGAAAACTTTAAAAGAGACCTATAACCATTCAATATTGTCCGATGTTAATCTTAGACAGGACAAACCAGCAGTCAAGCCACCTGTACAGGTACTTTTCAGTTATTTTAAAAGCACTAGACATCAAAAAAGACACCAAGATCTCAAAATGGCTGAGGCACCTGCCTGCACACCTACTCAAGGGAAACAGGGCGCTCCCAAATATTAAAATTTTAAAATATATATTATAATTAATACATAACTAAATATAATTACAAAAATAAAAATGGTCAACAAGTTAATCAACGTCAATATGGTAATATTGAGGTTGCGAGGCCTCAAGTTAATCGACCACAAACTCCTAAGTTTTATGTAACACACTAAAATTACACAACACACAGAAATTACGAGGCCTCAAGTTAATCGATCACAAGCTCCTAAGTTCTAACTCCTAACAAAGTAACAGTGCACCACCTCAATATGGTGCAGCAAGTTAATTAACGAAAGTATTACATATAAAATGAGAAAGAGAGGACTGAGAAGATGGAGAAGTAACCGATGACTCTAGAGAAAGGTGGGAGGAGGAGGAAACCAATGATGGACGAAGCTAGAGAGGGCGATGAATGAAGCTGCAACGGTGAATGAATGAAGGTGCAACAGCGAAAGAAGGCAGCAGACGAGTTTGCCAATGACGGCGGATGAAGTGGATAGAGTTGCAGTGGTGGACGGAGTATATGAAGGCGATGGACGAGGGATGGGGTTTCACTTCTAGTTTCTTTCACTGGGTCGAAGGGGGCATTAGGGTAAGTAGTGACATTAGTTGGTTCAATTAAACCAACTTGCTCGCCCAATCAACCTGATTTAGCTTGAGAGCTCACCCGAGGTGCCTAGCACACCTGAGAGATGCTTCGCTAAAACGCCATGCCTCGAGGTGTTGCGAGACGCTCAAGTCTTGCTTCGCCTCGCTTGAGTGCCCTTTGAAAACATTGGTACTTTTCATTAAAAAAGAAGTGGAGATAAAAAGAACATGAGAGGTGGAACAAAAATAGATGATGATACAAATATGCAGACCTATAAATAATAGACAAAATAGTTAACAGGTGAAAGTGGAGAGAAATGGCAATAAGATGAAAGAGCCTCATCTCACAACAAATGGCAATAAGATGAAGGATCAGAAGTAATCTATAGAAATTACTTCTGATCCTTAAATAAGTGGTCCTAGTGCCTCATCTCACAACAAATAGTTCTCGGAGGATATAGAACCTATCTTTTAGTTTATTGCACTGAGTTCACCAGAACCATAAAAGTAAAACGCATGCAACTTGCTTGTTACACATACGCATGGGTAGCTGCATATACAACCCTTTCAAAACAGTCATGCGCTAACGTAGCAAAGTGTCAGTACAGCAATGTGTCATGCGACCATATGAGCTGGTGTGTCTTAGAGAATCAACCATCAATTGTTAATAGATAAGAGTTATAGAATACTCGAGCATAAAATAACAAGCTACAGAAACATTCATAAGCACTCTCCTCCAGAAATCAAGGTTAAGAAGTAAAAGATTAAGGATCTATTATGGGTACCTTGTTTGGAAAGTTTGACACCAGTATTTACATCATCAGCGACACCTTCAATGGCAGAAGAATCTTCTACCAAACTGCAAGACATGACATTACACAAGTGATGACATGGTGCAACCAAAGAAATTATACGAAGACTATAGAGTTTTGAAACTTATAAAGTTGATTTAACTGAACAACTTGGAAATGATTATGAATCTTACACTTCAATTTCAGAATTAGATTGAGAAAACTTTGAATCGAGCTGGTCTATTCTGGATGCCTCTACTACCCGAGGATCACTGCCAACATGACCTTTGGCTTCCTCCTAGTTAGTATTCCATAAGCCAGAGTGCATTAGCTTGACTCATGAATCAACTCAAAGAATAGTTGTTACTCTTAACTTACCCCATACTTCTTTGCTGTCCATCCAGGAATGCTTTCATTTAGAAGACTGATATACTGTCCCATAGCAGCTTCTGGATCCATATTCCCCAGTTTTTGCCAAGCATTCCTAGAGAAATAGAGACGAGGTCTTCAATCAGATGCACAAATATGTTTCTGTACTCCGTTAATATTTAGAAATCATGTTATATCTGAACTGTGAACTCCCGTCATCACATCATTCCTAGAGTTAATGAAACTACAGAGTTATAGAAAAACTAGTCTGCAGATTAAATAATCCATAATGAGACAAGACGTAACAAAGGGAAAACAAGGAATAGAGCCATCATAACTAGATATCCTTGCAACAAGTGTTATTCTTCTTGGAGGGGTAAATAGAATGACTTAGTGGCTATCCAGTACATGAGTCTCTGACTTCATATCACAGAAGGAATACAACCAACTCAAAAATTGCATCCACTTCAATCAAGAAGATAAGTTCCCCCAGCAAAAGAACATTCTCTTTAGTTATAGCGTGGAACTTTGGGCAATACATAATTTTCACTGATCACCAGAAACTGATAATCTTATGAAACCACTAATGAAAGATGAAGATGGAAACAATAAACTTAATTAAGAGAATCCATAAAAAACTTGGCAGACCTTTCTGCCTGGATATGACCCCTATCAACATCCTCATAAGTTGATACCAAATTTTCTAGCTAAAAGGTAAGCAAGAGAGCAAATATCATTAAAATTTGAAAGTCATGCAATAATCTACAAAAAACTCTCTTAATGATTGTAGTTCTCATGCATCCAAAGGAGAACACCACAAAGTTCCCCTAAATTCATTTGTCGAGGTTAGAAGCTACCACTTCGTAACCCCACATGGATTGACACCAGGTGGCTTATCAACAAGCTATGTGGAAAACCAATATCCTGCATCATGTCAAATGTTTAAATTAAATCAGGTAGGCAATGAATCTACATCCTACTTGCCACAGAGTCAGAAAAAGGCCTCCTGAGATCCAAAACATAAGCAAACTCCAGTTTATGATGATTGCTCCATAGTTAGCTTAACACCATGATGTATCAAGACAATACGAGGAGTTAACAAGTATAAACAGAGCATTATTGAAAAAGCAACCGACGGTACCATTTGGCACGGGAAGAAACCTTCAAAGCCATGGGTTGTGGCTCATGGCACGGACCCTCGGTCGCAACCTTATGCAGCCCGTACATCTGCATTTGCACCTCATTGCTCAGTTTGGACACTGCATCCCCACCTTTCTTGCTACCGACGAACTCGCTTGCAACTCCAAATAACATCTCCAGCTCGCTTCTCTCGATCCCCTCCCACTCATCCTCTCCATGAAGCAACGATCCTACCTCGCCTCCGTCTTCCTTGTCTACCGCGTCTTCTCTGCCCAATTTCACGACTTTCTCCACCGCCTTTTTCCCATCCTCTTTACCCTTGACTGATCCCCCTTGTTGCCTCCGGGAATCATCATTAATTCTTCCGATCTCCACTTCATTATCCACTTTCTCTTTCTTCGAAGATGATTCTTCTGACCTAGTAAGATCAACTTCGGAAAAGAGCTTATCAGCGATATTTTCTCTATTAAGGTCGAATCCACTAACCTCGTCGCTCCTCTCCGGTCTCTCTTCAAGCAATCTTTCCTCTACGACTTCGAAGACCCCGGTCTTCGGGCGATCAGATCCGGCTCCGTTGCCACTAGACGACTTCCTCTCCGACTTCTCTGTCTCCTCCTCCTCCTCGATCGGATCCGAGTCCATCCCTGGACCCGCAACCCGAGCGAGTGGAACGGCCTCCGGCTTAACGGCGGCGGAGGCGGCGAACTTACCGATGAGGAAGGCGAGGAGGACGGAGATGAGAGCGGTCAGGAGAAGCTCTTCGAAGAACTCCATCGTCCCCATCCCCCCTCTTCGCTTTTTGTTTCGTCCCCTAGCCTTCTTCGCTTCCACTCCACGGCACGCGAGGCGGAGGAAAGCAGAGACGAGAGGAAGGAAGAGATCGAGATCGACAAGGCAAAAGGAGGAGGAAGACAGGATGAGGTCGGGGTGGGTGGCGTTTCAATGCATGTAGAGATTGGGAGAAAGCGGAAGACCTGAGAGCGCCAAAAGGCATATTCGCTTGGCCACGCCGGCTTACGTGTCGATGGAGACCTCCTGCTCTCGGCTTCTCGAAACGTGGCTTGTGATAGGATGATGCAGCTCTGCGTCTTTCGAAAGCGACACGTTTCCTACCCGCTGAGCCCTACGCTCTCCGAACTAACCGGCTCTCTGTTGGTTATGAAATCGGCCGAGTATGGACCCGCACATTGCTCACAAGGAGATGCCGTTAGGCAGGGCAAATGGGTGACACACATGCTCCGAGGATTGGCGTGATATTTTATGCAGAATAAATTCCTATCTGCTATTCCCCGCCCATGTTGTTACCCGATAATTTATTGGTGGCCTTTAGCGGAGCCCACATGGAGCTAAAATGATCAGGACAATCCATCACGTCGATTACTTTGGCCAGGTTGGACCTGATCCGGGTAGGTTCGTTCGCGGTGGGCCGTTGGATCTGACGATTGTGACGATAAATCCAGAAGAATGACGGCGTCGCGCTCCATATTTCGCGGCTGAAGCCGAGCCCCGTAGATGGCAGGCTCCGGCTAAATCGACGACCGTTATAGGCCAAATCTCGTTTCGTTTCGTTTCGTTTCGTTTCGTGCGTTATAATATAGCGGTGGAGAATTGGGTGTTGGAGATGTGGATGTCAGGAATTCGTGCACTAAAAGTTAAGCACAGAAACTATTATTCTTTTGGTTTCATAGGGTGTATGATTGCTTTGGATTGATTATACGTGGAGCTAAAGAGGAGGCAAGGAATTATTTCGATATTGGCTTTATTATTAGTACGGGGAATAAATCAATAAATTGAGGAGGGTCAAAAAAGGAAACGAACAAACTTAAAATCCTAACAACTTACAATGTGATACGAAGTAACATAACAAGTTCACGTATAATGGAATCTACATTTTATAGAATAAATAACATTCAAGCAGCGTGCAATGGTTTAAACTAGATCTTTTAATGGATGCAAACCTTACATAATTGCTTGATGCAGATACGATTAAGTTGAATGGATACCAACACGAATCATAAGGATGGATTGTATTGTATAATCGATTTATCGTGTTTCTTGCTCCAATCAACTGTGACATATGGCGTCGGGAAAAATGTACACGTAAGCTTTCGTGGGCACAGCTAGCATGACTCTCTGCGCTTGGAATTGATTAGATGCGTCTAAAAGGATCACTTATCACAAACAGAGAGAAGATTTAATCAGACGATGATCAACACCACGTGGTGGACGCACTTGATGGAACACGTAACCCAAAGCTACAAAAGGAGGGGCGTGGCTCTCGAGATCGGAAGAAAGAGAAAGAAAGAAGCGAAGCGATCTCCAAAGGGTGAGATGATCTAAGTGCTTCGGCCTCGCGAGACAGGTATGTATGTCCCTTTCTTGCTATTCCTATTTACGGAATTCATCGATCTCTCTTGTTTCTGGATCCTTGCACTTTGGATCGATTCTAGGGTTTTATCAGTTTATTTTCGGTTGCAAACTGTTCTTTTTCTTTTGGTTTTCCACCTGTTCTTCCGTTTGGAGGATGTGTTTTGAGGTTTCAACATGATTTTCTGTTGTATTATTGAGTTTCATCCTGTTATTGGGTTCAGCTTCTTGGAATTTTGTCTCGTTCCCTATTCCTGTTTAACCTTTCTTTTCTTGTGTTTTTGCAATCAATCGCTGTTGTTTTTGGATGCTTGCGCTTTTGATCGATTTTAATATTTCGTCACTTCTTGTTCTCTGTTGCATATTATTATTATTTTCTTTGGTTTTCACCTATTATTTCATTTTGAGGATGTCTTCTAAGATTTTGGCATGCTTTTTTGCTAGATTAATGAGTTTCTTCCTATTCGTGGGTTCGGTTTCACGAGTTCTTCCTATTTCGTGGGTGTGGTATTTTATTGCTCATGTCTTGTTGATTTTCTATTGGATTTTGTTATCTATTCTAGAATTTCTAGCTTATTATCAATCGCTTGTTCTTGGTTCTTTAGTGCGTTTCTGCTTGATTCTTATGCCTCTTCATCAATGTTGATTTGTCCTACGGTTCCATTGACGTCTATGCTTTATTATTGGCGTGGGACTCTTACTGATTGATTGATTGCTACAAAAAATAACAATGGTGGATAAAAAAAAACAGGGACCAATGTCCTAAGTATTACATCTCTTAAAAGTCCTAAATACCAAGTGTTCGAATCATTGATGAATTTGTCTTCGTAGCCAAAGATAAGAGAACATAAGAAATGGTGGCTCTGAAGATGATAAATCTACCTAAATGGGGAAAAAATGAATGACGAAAAAGTGAGATCAATTGTCTCGTGTCATTTCACCATTCATCGATCATGGAGCTAAAGGATGTGGTCCATTGCGATTGTAGCCATGATATTATTTTGCTCTATCATGGAATATGTCAAACATGACCTCGTATATCACATAGAATTCAAGAGGGAACTTGATTTATGAGAGCAGAGTCAGGTCAAGCTTCTTACATGTTAGCCCTTGCAAGATGTCAAGTATCTTCGTTACCATGAGATGATTCATATAGGCAAAGATAAAAAAACATCCTATTGAATGAACTTGAAAATTAAAGATGTATGATTTTGAAATGTGTCATAAATTTGGATCCTCATCCTACACTAGGGGGTGGGGAGCTTTTGGTACCAAGCGCAAGAAGTTCTATTGGGATTAAATAATTATTCTATCACTATTGATATATAGTCCATTTGATGCGTCATGACACAGCTCGTCTGCCGACGTAATTATGCAAGGGAAGCTTGAAGTTGGATCAACTATAGAAAATTATTAAAATTATTGAGACACCTAATAAAATTATTTGGCTTGAATTTCCTTGTCCACTGGTCTCCTTAGTTATGTCAAGCAACCACATAATAACCGAGAGATGTTTTCATTGACAGTCATACTTGGATATCCCACTTTCCTAGAAATTAGTTTTGAAAATTTGAGATAATTTTTAACCTATGACCCCAAGCAAAGAATAACTACCAATGTTGCTCTTAGACATCCATGGTTCAGAGTCATGACATCTCATCTAATATGTAATCACAACTAGAACATATGCCAAAGATTAGAATTTCAATTGGACTTAAGATCTTACCTATCATATGGGAACCAAGATTTATATTGGAGTCCAATTTATATTTTTATTCACATTTGGTCATTTAGCTTTCTGCTTTTTTTTATATCATTCTTTGCTTCACCTTTTCTTTCAATTTGTTATATAGGGTAGGGAAGGTAGATTCGCGATACAAAATGGCTTAGCACTAGTGGCACATGGTTTTGGTAAACTAATTATTTTAAATATTACAATTTCATCCAATATGGTATGGTACATCTTGTATATACCGATTCGCCCACTAATTGACATATTATCATGGACTTAATTGATTTTGTCTAAATCGTGCGACACCTTTGCCTGTTTGTCTGCAAAGGATTAACCTCCCTGAAATCTTTTACGGTCTCTTAAAAACCTACAAAAGAGAAAATAGGTTAGAGAAGGTATTTAACTCGAAATATACAAATAACTATTTCAACAAACACTTGATAGACAATGCAAATTACAAACATAGACTTCATAAGCTCTAAACGGTCACACTACAAAGGGTCTAAGGTGGTTCACTATAGACCAAAATTCTCATAAGTGCCCACATGACACAACCTTCATTTATAAGCTTAAAACAACCACTAAAGCCAATCAAAATAAGACTATCAAGTCTACTTTTAGTCCTATGTACAAAGCATAAACAAAATCGAAAGACGTAAAGATACATAAATATTACATCGAACACCCTATTTAAAGTTTTATCTATGATAATATGGACCATCCTTATCAAGTGAAATATACCCGATAAGAGTTACTATTCAAAACATGACTGTTACTAACATGTTTATCACGATTGTACCACATGAACGACGGGTTACTTTGGTCCAATAATAAATTTGATTATTGGATCCCAATTTAGGCCTAATTAACTCTTCGAATCCTTTCTCTCACCTCTTTCGTTCACTCACGCACACAACTTGCCTTGCTTTTTCTCACTCTCTTTGTTGTTTCAATTGAAGGGATTAAAGTGGTCAAACGATCATTTGGTGGAAGATTATTTTAATTAAAGATATTTATTATATTTTTATATTTTAGTTAGATTTTTTACATGTTTATGCATTTATTAGTGTCTTTGTATGAGTAATTATGATTTATTATTATATATTTCTTGATATTAGAGATAATTATTCATAATTATAACTACTTAATGCTAATTAGTGTCATCCTTTATAATTTAGGACCAATTAAAATCGTAATCTTACTTTGAGGGCAAATTAGGGTCAATTAGGATGGTTCTGCATCATTATATATAATATAGTGTCAATTAAGGCTAATATCTTAGTTTTAGAGGTAATTTGGGGGTAATTAAACTTAATCATAACATGCTAAGTAATGATTATGTAATTCTCTATAGTAGAGTTATTTTTTTAATTATAGTTAGTTAATGGTGATTAATATTATTCTTTCTAATTTAGGGTCAATTAAGGTCATTTTCTTACTTTTATGATCAATTTAGAGGTAATTAGGTCTAATTACACCACGTTAAGGTTAATTAGTGTCATTTTATATAATTTAGGATCAATTAGGGTTATTACTATTAGGATCGTAATGGCACTATAAGGAGAGGGGAGGGGTTGAATTAGTGTTATAGTAAATTTTAACTGATTTTAAAGTTCGATTAATAAATCTATGTCGGAAATATGATTAACTAAAAATATAAATAAGGGCTACGAGTAAAGTAAATGAGTAAGCAACAATAAATAAAAAACAAGAGTGGTTCAGTCTTCCCGATCTATTTTCACTCTCGATTTTTCTTCCCTCGAGGCCATCAATTTTCACTACTGATCTTTTTTCTAACGGACGAAGATCAACTACTCTTATTATAGCTTTTCTCATTTTAACAGGGTTAGGAGAGAACTTTCACACTCATTC